AAAAAAAAAAAAAAAAAAAAAAGACGTTTGTCTTCCTTTACCCCCTGAATAGACACATAGCTTAATGTGGCATGCATATTCCCATTGCAATGCCCTATTCACAAATGAACATCTTTGTCCAGAAAGTCTCCCTGTGCTTTAGGTAGAGCGTGTCTAGATGCTCTTAGAGAAGAACTCAGCTTCAATCACCCCTGGGGGATGACCTCCGTTCTCTCCTCCTTCCTTTATTCAGTGAGTTTATGAAGCACCTGCCCTGGGCCAGGGGCTCTTCTGGGCATGAAGTAGAAGTGGACAGAACACAAAACCCCTGCCCCACGCAGCTCACAGGCATTAAAGGATTGAGTGCTGAGTATGCTTGGGGTCAAACTGTAAAAGATTTGAAGATATTTATTCTGAGCCAAATATGAGTGAGGGTGGCCCATGACCTAGTCCCAGGAGACCCTGAGAACACGTGCTCAAAGTGGTCATGCTACAGCTTTTGGTTTAGTACATTTTAGGGAGACATAAGCCATAAACCAGTACATGTAAGATGTAACATTGGTTCCCGAAAGGTGGGACAACTCGAAGGTGGGGTGGGGCTTCCAGGTCATAGGTGAATTCAAAGATTTTCTGGGCCTGGGGCAGGGACTCACGCCTGTAATCCCGCCACTTCGGGAGGCGGAGGTGGGCAGATCCTTTGAGGTCAGGAGTGGGAGACCAGCCCGGCCAATATGGTGAAAACCCGTCTGTACTAAAAATACAAAAATTAGCTGGGCATGGTGGCGGGCGCCTGTTATCCCAGCTACTAGGGAGGCTGAGGCAGGAGAATCGCTTGAATCTTGGAGGTGGAGGTTGCAGTGAGCCGAGATCACACCGTACTTGGGTATCTTTCAGGGCCTGCCGTCTGTCACGTCGGTGTCCTACTGCCTAGACAGTCTTAAGTCTGTTTTGACGTTAATGCTGCTCCGAATTCCAAAGGGAGGAGGGTCTACTGAGGCGGGTCCCACCCGGCTTTTCCCATCAGAGTCTGAACTCGCGGTTCAGGTTCCCTTTAGGACGCCCCTGGCCGACAGGAGGGCTCCAACGGCTGGCTGCGGGGCTTAGAATTTTATTTTTGGTTTACAGCACAGAAGAAGAGCAGTGAGGAAGGGGCGCGGGTGGGGGCTGCAAGGCGGCGGCTCCAAGAAAAGCCAGCCCCTGGCGGCCCGACAGAGTCTCCGCACCCC